GCAAAACTATTGTTTGTACAGTTGAACACAAGCCCGAATATGATCTTGTGTAGGAACAGAAGGGCTCAGGAGCTCCATCACAAGTATTACCATTCCCCTGCATAACATTTGAGAAAGGAGGCTTGCTGCATGCACAGGAGGAACAACCAAGTTGACAGTAAAAAAAAAAACGAACACAAGATTGCAATGTAGGGTGAACTTTACTCTTTGGTCCACCAAAAAAATGGAAGAGTCTTTTTCTTTTCTCCTTTTACACACAAAATTATGGAAGTTGTTACTAAACTACTTTTATCAAGCTGGTGTTCAGACATCTGGGAGGATATGAACAAACATTCAGAAAACAACTGCAAAAAATTGCAATGTGATAACCTATATTATTGTGAAGACAATAATAAAATCTCAGTTTATTTCAGAAAGAGAAAAAAAATGGCCTCCATGTAGCTTCCACAAAAAAATATTTATATATTTACATCTGATGGTAGAAGCTGGGGTTCATAAAAGAAAGAAAACTTGGGGTAATTATCAAAGCTTACCTAGGGTTGGAAACATTTCTTGATTGCTCAAGAAACTCAGTGACAGGCTTTGTAAACCCTTGCTAATCCATTCAGTCACTGAATGCAAATATAAGGCGTAACATTGCTATGCTTGCCATAACGGCTATAGTTACAACAGCACAGTTAAACACTTAGTTTTCAGATAATTTATGAAATTTGTGTGAAGCATTTACTGCAATAAAATAAATATCTCAGCTATTGGTAAATACGAACCTAAGTTATTCACGTGCATATGTGCATATATGTTTAGCTTTCGTTCTGACATTACTCCAGTTATTCAAAATATCTTCTTGAATGTTTATCACTACATCTTACATAGTCATATACCTGTCTGCAAGGTGATAAAATAGTGCTGCAAATGATACATTTTGTCTATTTTCCACTTAATACTGTTTTTTAATAAAAGTTTCCGTTCCTGAATTCTACAAGCCTTTAAGTAGGATAGAGCTAGTTATACTCCAGACCATTTGGCATGATTCAGTATGTATACAAACCAAGCTGCACTGAAAAGTGATGAGATTTCTTCTAGTATCACCTCTTGTTTTGATTCTCAAATCAAACTTTGGATTTTGCCTTCCTTCTTTTTGTAAGTACATAATACACTGGTTTTACTAGTTTAAATTTTCATTTGAATGTAAATAAGTAGCCATCCTACTCTGATAAAAGTAACACTTCAATTTATCTGGAAAAATAAACGATTTTATGGCATTAAAATGCAATGCAATGTCTCATTCAGAGAAGAAAAGCATTATTCTAGTCAATCTGGGTGGGTTTTGAATATCTTCAGAGAAGGAGACTCCACAACCCCTCTGGCTGTTCCAAAGCTCTGTCACTCCCAAAGTAAAAGAGATTCTTCACATGTTCATAATAATCCACTGAGTTTTAATTTGATAGTCCATATCTTCTATACCAAATGATAATAATGATAACATTCTGACACATACAAAAACCCCACTTCTACATTAACGGATCTCTTTATTTAAAGACAGTTATAAACTCCATCAAAGCAAATATTTAAAAAACAAAACAAAAAAACCAAACCAATAACCCACAAAGCCTAAACATCAAATCAACTAAACAACAGAGGCCCTTAAACCCAGGATTCTTTGAGTCAAGTTGTAAGACAGCTCTTTTTGAATGGTATTCAATGGTTCCTCTATGGTCAGTTTGACTTCTATACTGTACGAAGTTAACCAAAGTTAGGCACATAAATATTATAAATAAATGAGAGATTTATAGTCAGAGCTAATGCCTCTCTTTCTTGCAAAGATATAAACAAACCAAATCAGCTCAGTTTGATATTTTCTGATGAAGTCTTTACAAACTGGAGTACATATACTACAGACATTCAGTCACAATGATGAATTTACAAGTTCCAATGGCTTCACAATCAGTGTATAGCTTAATGATGGCTGAAGTTTTTGAAACATCTTTCTAATGGATTCCACGTTTCAGGTTTCATAGCACCTACATTGATATGGTGACTTGTTTTTCTCTCCTTTATTGAGCAGATATTGAAATTCAACAAAATACCTACTAAAATATCAAAAAGCAGCAACTAAGGCAAATCATACCACCTTTCTCATTTAATAAAATTGAAGTCATAGTCATACTCCATTTCTGATTGTTTACCAAAGCTAAGAAAAATCACATGAAATGTTAACTGTGTGTTATTTATGAAAATAAGCATATAATGAAAGCTGTCACTAGCTGTTTCAGCTCTGAAACTAGTCATGCACTTTTTCAATACATTTTATTTGGACTCTATCCAGAAAATCCACTAAACACATTATATGTTTTAACACAAAAAATATGATCAAATTTGAAGGAAGAATAAAAAGCCATATCATCATCCAAAATTTCAGTGAAGAATCATTAAATACTGTATCTCCACAGGCAAGTTCGAAACGTTAGCTTCTGAAGTCTTACATTAAAATTAATTGTACAGGTTGGACAAATCAGTATCTTGTAGCTTTTCAGGTTGTTTTTTTTTTTCTCAGAAAAACCACAAATTTGATAAAAACTCCATCAGATGAAAGCATGCCAGCCCCCTTCCAGATAATATCTACTCTGTGTACCTGCTGAAACAAGGTAACATCTTTTCTTCCTTTTTTACATAGCGATTTACCTGTTCTGCTTAACGTGCAACAACTTCTACATCAAATTACTTCAGTTTGCTTAGCAGCCGTGGTTGTTTTACCCCCTTATAAGTCCCAGAGACCATAATTAAACATGAAAGAAAGATGCCTTCTATTCACCTACCCTTACTATCTTTCCTGCTTCCAAAGAAGGGATCTATCTTCCTGTCAAGACTGTCGTTCAGCAGTCAGAGAAAAGGCTCCTCTTACCTCTAGGACCCCAAGTCACTGAACCTGCTTAAGCAAGTGTGAAACATCTGCTCTTCCTTGCATTTTGCCCTCTGCCCAAACTGGACTCTCACTTTCCCAATGCTTGACGCTTACCGCAAGTGTTATAAATGAGACTAATTAGGATTCTCGTTGCCCACTGACTCCTTTATTATTCATGTGACACTTGTGATAAATGCATTATGTTACAAATGGTTGAGGTGGCACTTATACACACCAGCACAAACTTTAGAGTCATGGAAGAAATCATTTGGCAGCAAGACAGACTAAATCCACCAGCTATGGTAACCATGCACTGCAAGGTGGAGTATATTAAGAACTTATCAGTTCAGTGCAAGAAAGTAACCAACAACCCTGCAGTTTCTCCAATACAGAGGTCTCCAAAACCTACAATTGTCTGAATTCTCAAGATCATCATCTCCTCTTAATAGTAAAACTCAGAACAGAATAACCTGACATACATAAATTACACAGAAATTGATTTGATTTGTATGTAACAATGCCTTTTTTCAAAATTAATTACAAATATGCTGGCCTTTGCACAGTATGGATTAATGCCCTGATCCAGCAAGACACGTGCGTGCTTAACTGTTCTTCCAAGCTAAAGCTAGGAGATTGTCTGGACAATTAATTCTAGTTCTCTCATTAGCAACAAAATTGGTAAACCTTCGAGCAGAATCAGGTATCTCAGATTTATTCGATTCTCTCATTAATCTCAAAAAAAATTCGTATGCACAGTTATCCAGTAATCCTCTCCATTAAATTACATGTTATTCACCATTAAATCTATTTGTGAAGTCAGTCAGTACAGACTATTCATACTTCCTACAGATTAAAAGCCTATCAAGAAATCAAAACCAAAGCTTTTCTTTTTTTTTTTTCCAAAGCCATGGTAAAATAATCTTAGTTTCAAAAGCCTTCTTGCTCAGAGTATGTATCAGTACAATTTGTAAGGTATTGCCTAACAGTTTGTTATAGACATAAGTCTATACAACAGTAAGAAAAATGGCACTGGTCAAAATGCAAATCTCTTTACTTTAAAAATCCGCAAAGCCTGTTCTTTCATTGTTCCAATATGAAGCGTATCATTAAATAGTACACCTATTTAAATTCAGTCACCATGGAAGTTCAGGCAGGCAACAAATGAAAGCTATACATTCTATTCCCCCCTGAATAGAAAAGCCAGCTCTGCAGAAATAAATGCTACAGTATCAGTAAATATTTAACAAAGCAGACATTTTTTTTCCTTTAGGAAAAAGCCTACAAAAAATAAAACAACAGATCTTACAAACGAGATTCTATTGATCCACCCTAAAAAACCTATTTTCGAAGAACCACAGCACTACTTTTTTGATGATGAAGGAGTTGTATGGAAAGGGAAAGAAAATCCCAAATCATGATCTTGTTGCAAACTGTCCAGTAACACTAGAAAGGAGAACCAACTACTGCAACAAAACCTAACATCCCAAACAAAAATCTTCCAAAATAGAAAAGACAAAGACATTTTCAGTATGAATGAAGGCATTGTTTAAATATGCCACTTAAAAGAGTAGTTTATATTGCAATCCACTTTTGTGTGTGTTTGACTGTATTTAAAATACACAGTTGTAAATATCTAATTTCAAGCCAAAATCATTTGCTTTATCTTCACAGTTTCCCAAGAGCAAACCAATATTTGATTGCAGAAAAAGTATCACAAGAAGTCATTAATTTTGGTGACTCTGTAAAAATATTTAGATATGAGGATTGATAGTTTGCAATGAACATAGAAACTAAATTGAATTTGAATTCAATAATGCAAAGTAGTATCAAAATCCTCATGTTTCCCTGGCACTGTATTGTCAAATGACAAAGAGAACAAACAGAAACCTCCCAAGTAACCTGAATATTATTCTTTTTACTGCTTTTCTAAATGCTGCCTGAGTTTTATAAATAGGCAGGGTGAAATAGTTACTGGTGTTACTCCATGGAACTTGCTATTTCAGAAGCATCATACACTTTTTCCAAAGGAAATCCTATAAAAGGAAAAGCTGCTCTTTCCCCAGCAGAGCACTAATAATTAGATGTCAGGATCTCCTACCTCGATCAAAAAGTCTCCGGTTCTCAGGCCAGCTTGCCATGCTACTCCCCCTTCATCCACAGATTCCAAGTACTGCAAAGCAGGAAAGGCTGGAGTTGGGGTGAATTCTTCAATTGGTGTGTCAGCTTTAGAAATAAATACCACATTAAAAAAGAAAGTTAGGAAATGCTTGCAAATGCCACTTAACTAACGGCCTATTACTGGCCACTCAAATTTGTGGTTAAAAAATGACGAGAGCTAAAAGCGAGGGACTTGGCCTCAAAGAATATCAAAATGCTGGGAACAGAGTACAATCTCTGCAATAGCAATCCACAGGTCTTCAATTTAGTGAGAAAAATTCATGCTTCTTTACTGACATAGGCTAAATCAAGCTGTACAGGGCAATAGCTGGATTCTGAGTATTCTAGGATATTTGGTATGACTTCATTTAAACCTTTTGTATGCCTGGCAAAATGCTTCTAACTCTGGAAACACCCAGCTACAAAGGAATTATTTACTGTAGACAGAAGAGAGCATTTGGCCAACCTAGGCAGGGAGGAGGGTGGATAGCAGGAGCAAAAAGATAGAAATCAGTTTTTCCTCTAGAAAAATTCTTTGTATATGCATATGTGTAACAGAAAAAGCACTCCTTATGGAAAAGAGGAACATCAGCCCTTGAACCAGCCTTTCCTCTCTCTGTCACGTACACAGACCAGCAGAAAAGTCCTTGGGTCTTTCACCTGAGGCGCCCTCACTGTTACAGAGAGAATTAGAGGAAAATAGTTGGGCTTGCATAGTGGGAGTAACCTCTGCTTGATGCACAGTCAACTTGTGGCAATGGGTTAACTAAAAGGTAGCACTACTGGCTTTCCTAGTAGAGCTACAAAAATACTTATTTAATTAGAACAGCACTTACAGCACTGAAAATCTACAGTGTCACTGGTTTGGAGGTGTGGGAAAAGGGGGAGCAAAAACGATGTCCCAAGAATGAAGATAAGGAATATTTTTCATGCTCAAGCAAGGCAAGGGAGAACCCATGGAAAAATGGGGGGAGCAAGAGATGGGACATACCATCATACATATTTTTTAAAATACAAAAGGAACAAACTGGACTGAAAGTTCAGGAAAGCATTAAATAGAATGCTTTTTTTAACTCTTGAGAATGCCATTATTTTAGATTTTAGCCTAGAGAAAAGTAGCATGCAGTTTAATATACAAACAGCTTTCAAAATGAGCACACTACAGGCCATGCAACATACGTGCAGCTTCTGAAGATATAAAAAAAGATCATATTTTCATACTAAAACTGCACCAATGTCACCTTGCCGAAAATCCACACCTATTTTACACAAAACATCACTCTCTTGTCTATTTCTATTCACAGACCTATTTAAACAGACTGTCATTGAAATAGAGAAGCAGGTTTTATAAGGAAAGCAGGTTTCCCTTAGGTAAACTGCATAACAAAACAGATAAATGATAAAATATTACATATACCATCACAGTAAAAATACAGACAAAACTTTCTCCCCACAAAACGACTACAGGCTATACAGTGCTTCTCCTATGTAAAAACACAAACTGCTTCAGACAGAAAGCACTAAAATCTGTCTGAGTAGTACAGCATGCAGAGAATCCTGTTGTCTAGCAACCAAGTGCACCAAGAATAATTCCTGCTTATATTCAGAGATGTATAAATTTCTTCATGCCAGTGCACATCACACAAACACACACAGAAGCACATACCTTTTGCCCCTCTGAGCACAAATCCAAATCCTTCATTGTCTTTTTTCTGCAGGACCACTGCCTTTTCTTCTATAATGCAGTCACTGTAGAGAGAATTCCGAGGATAGCGACCATTATTACATCCCTTCATCACCACTGTAGTAGCTGCTCCTCCAGTGTGCAGGTTCATCATCATCACAGCCCGTTAATCAAATAATATTGCAGTAACCAAGCATGGGAAAATATATACAAATAGCAGCAGAGGGAAGACAAAGACTAAGCCTGATGATAAAAGAGAACATGACAATGCAACTTAAAGAGAAGAAAAAAGGCAGAGAGGAAAAAGAAAGAAGAAAACATGCATGGTCGTTTGTGTTCTATATGAATGACTGAATGAGCATGTGATCATGTAATCTGTGGGCTAGCTAGGACTCTAAAAGGAAAAAAAGTAAGTGAACTGAACGACAGTATCATTAATAAACTCCTCAATCGTGGATGTACCAGATGCATCTTCTAGTGAAGCCAAAATGAAACCAACCAGAAGAAAAATGAGGCAGCATTTTAAATTTAAAGATAAAATATTATGATTTTATATAAGCTAACTAAAAGGCACAAATATATTCTGAAAGCTATGCCTTGCATCAAAAGCCCTTTTTCAATCCTATTGAATGTTGCATGCTGCAAGAATCCCACATGATCATCTGACAGCCTACAATGCTAACAACGTGCAGCTGCCTTGGCGTCATCAAGCACAAATTTCCACAGCATCAAGAATCTGCATAATTGAAATAGTAACAAGGCATGCACAATCAGGAAAACACGTTTCTAAGGAATAATTCCCGTCTCCTGATCAACAATTAATATTATAAAACAAGACGATGGTTTAAAGGACTATTTATGTAAGCAGCATGCCCTTAAAGAGAAAGTAGCCTTAGGAATCTTTCTGTCATTGGATAAGAAAAAAGTAGACAGAGGAGAAAGAAAATTCATAAATCCACATCAAAATGAGATCTCACATACAGACAACAATCTGTAAAAGCTTTAAACTGTTTACTGTTTTTAAACATTTGACTACTAAAAATAAGCTCAAGGTAAAATAATAATAATAACCATCATCATCTAAAATACTTTTTCTAGGTTTAAAGCCATTAGGCAGCACAGTGCCAGGGGTTAAACGTTCATGAATCGTAATGAATTGTAAGCACTGCAAAAGACTGGTAAACTGGCTTTAAAACACTTACATAAGTATTTAATACAGGAAGAAGCATTAAGCAAAGTTTCGTTTTCTTTTCCTTGATTTGTACTAACCAACTAAAGTTTCCACTGGTCTTGTGCAGAGTTTAGTCACTGAAGTATCCAGTGCACAAAAAGAGACAGAGACTCCTTCAGTGCCATTAATAATTCAGAAGGGGAGGAGGAAACTAATGAAAGAAAAAATGGTGTGACCTTTTTATTTAAAGCTCTGAACAAAGGCAAGGATGATGAGATCAGGATACCAGTGGCCAGCCTCCAAACTCCAAATCTCTCACGCATCACAGACCACTCATTTGGTGACTTTCCAAATTCAACAGAGTGATACAACTTCATGCTATTGCTAAAATGGTGATGTAATTATGCTTCCAAACTAGTCAGTAATTAAATGTTATTGAATAGAATAACACGTGAGTTACTGCTACCACAATGGAGACTTCAGCTTTCTGAGCAATAGATGACTTCCATAAATAACAACAGCTTTTGAATATTGTCTCTTGCCTTACTACATACATGTAACTCTGAAAGTACTACCTCCTATACATTTCCAGCAAATACATAGCAAACTCTGAGCTACAAAACACTATTTTCCAACATAGTCACTGTCATTAACTATGCATTTTCACCGATGATGATCAAGAGTCTGCATACTGCACTTGTAAAAACGTGCATCAGCAGAAGGGACTCACTGCTTCATAGCTGCTATGGCTATTTCCTAGCACTGTTGCTAGGAAAATGTTGCTCACATAGTCCACATTTCATTGGCTTGAACAGACGAAAGTCAGAAGACACCAGATCTGGACTATATTGTGGATGTTGCAGGACAGTCCAGAGAAGAATGGAAACGTGCCCCATGGTCTTTAAACTGGTATGGGGCCTGGTGCTATTGTGTTGTAAAAGCAAGGCTGTCTTTTTCTCTGGATTGATTCTGAAAGTTTGAGCCTTCCGTTTTAATCAGCATCATGACATAGTGGTCAGAGTTGATGGTTTGTCTAGGTACTGGGAAATCCAAAAAGAACACTCCTTTCCTATCCCAAAAGACAGTGCACATAGCTATAAAGAGTTTCCTTGTTGTAACCCATGGATTCACATGGATGAGCTGATCAAGACATTCTTCATTTCATGGTGTGACAGCTGTGCATGGCCATCCAGAATGTGGCTGGTCTTTCACATCACTGTCACCACTGCTGAAATGCACCATCCACTGCCTCACTGCACTAACATCCACTGTTTGATCTCCATAAATGTTTATCAAGCATTGATGAATGTCAATGGGTGCCATTTTTCCACAAGGAGGAATTAATAGACATACCTTTGCTTCATCTGCACTTCCATGCCAGACACCAATTTGTCAAACTGCCCTTCTGCTGCCATCTGTCATATGGCAACAAAATGTAACAGAATACTGATGGAAAGGTTCAACCGTTACTGCCATACCACCAGCATGCATCTCTGATCTCACCAGCATCTCACATAGTGAGCCAACATAATAATATAGAAGGCATTACTTTCAGAGCAGCTCTTGTAATTTGGATGTTACCTCTTCTTACAATGAATACTCTTTCTATGATAATGATGTAGAAAGAAATGTGTTTCTCATGAAAACTGAAAACGCTCCAGTTCAGGGATATTGGAGAGGAAATCTGCAACCTCAGAGTCTATACTATATTTTTGAAGCCTTCCAACAACGTCCTCATGTTACAGAAACTTACACAGGCATACTGCCTGCAATTCACTATCAAATTTTCAAGTTGGGACTCTATACTTGCTCAGTGAAGATCCAACAATAAAGCTATCGTCAGCATTTTTCTTGATACCTGGCCAAATGAATAAGACCTATTTACTTCAAGATTTCTTGGAAACAAGCTTAATAGAAATTGGAAAGCTACTTTTGAGAACCTAAGCATAGAAGGGATCAGTCAAAGAAAACTCCTCCTCTACTCTACCCAAACCAATCTCTCATTTGAGATAGTTAATGCAGAGGATTCAGAAGCATATTATCTAGGTACCTTATTAAACTGCTCTTATTTCATTTTTGTCAACAAAATCAAATTCAGAACATCATTCCTTAAAATGCTGAAGTTTCAATAGCAGTGCTTTGAAAACTTCTTGGTGTGGTTCACCTGATCAATGTTACATATCTATACAAAACAAGCAAACTTACAAAAAAACCTACAAAAAACAACACCAAGAAAAATCTCAGCTCTCTTCACAATCAAACTTCACCGGCATTTTTAAGGTATGCTCACTTAAACATAATATGCAGAATTGTTCATATGAAAAGTGTGAACAGCACCTATGATTTTCTCTTCCTCTACAGCACACTTTATTTTTACAACTAGCCAGTTTTGTATCTCAGTTTACACAATACAAGTGGGAATACTTAACTGTTACAAAGCATTGTGATGTAAGGTAAAGGGCAAAGGGAAAAGTAGAAGCACAAGAATTTTTGGTAACATAAGGTACAAACTGATCTCTACTATTTGACAAATAGTTTACTAATACACAGTTTCAGTGATGTACTACATGAGGAAAACTTTATCACAGCCTGTAAAGTAAAAACGTAGGTTTGAAAAAACTAGATGTTTAGCCAATTCTCATTTACGTGGAAGAATGAAATCTGCAATATACTTGTGTCTTGAACTGTTAAAAGTTGTTTAAACCAAGCACAGAAAGCAAACCGATCCCTTATTCTGGTGTTGCAGAGCAGCAGAAAAAGGATGGAAAACAAACATACACACAAACCAAATTCGCAACCTTCACAATCCTTCTGCCAGCAAGCTCCCTTGCACCCCTGAGAAAGGGGGAGACCAGAAAAGTGTTTAACCTCTGAGTACTTGTAATACTGATTTTTTGTTTGTTTTGCAATGACAGTGCACCCATATCTCAGTGTCAGAGTGGACATCTGCACTGAAGACCTGTGGAACAGATCTACCTGGTTCTGGCAGGCAAAGGGAGCGAAATATAAAAGTAGGTCAAATTTTCTCTAACTAGTCTTGTTGGCAGCATTTCTTTGATCTTGAAGGTGTCACAAATATTCAGCAACAGAATGCATATAGGGTTTAGCTATCAGTGACAAACAAAGGAGACATTGTGTTGCAAGTCTGTTCAGAGATCTGATCTTAAGCAGAGAAGTGTTTCTTCACAGATGCTTTAAACACAGTGATATCACCCTACGCTAAATTTCAGTATGTAAAATCCTTAAGATCAATTTCTATCCTATCTCAAATTGAAATGAAACAGTTCCCATTCCACAGTAAAGCATTCAGAATAATACTGATTTCATATTTTGGTAACAAGTAATTTTAAAAACAATAGCTCATTATTTACAAAGAGGAAACGTTACATTAACTTTGGGCTGTGTAAGTCCAAGATTCATTATATATAAGGTTAAATGCAAAATATATCCTATAGAATGCAGAATATTTCTTCATGAGGTACTGTGACAAACCATCAACTTAAGGCTTTAAGCAAAAACTGAATACTAGAAAATACGCGTCCTCATCCATTCGTGTAGCTTAACAGTTTAAGGCTGAAGAACTGTGCACAGCTGTCAGAGTTTCCATAATTTTATAGTCTTACCAATAGAGAAAGGGAAATATAAAGACTGGTCAGACAGACACCTGTGATTTGAATTCAGCACTCATTCAACATAAAAGCCATCATACACGTAGACTTTTTAAGATGGCAAGAAGTTTTGCTTTGCTAACAACCCAATCAGACGGTGCCTGAGGTAGAAGTCAATAAAGAAGAAAATAAGGGTTAAAGCCCTAGTTCCTGATGGAAGCAAAACCCATGAAACCTAGCTTCTGTTTCACAACTAAAACATCTGCACCCTACCTTAAAGCACAAA